GTCCAAACCTTTTTCACGAGGGCCACATATAAATAAATATTCGAAGGGCTGGGCCACTCTAGAGGTGACGTTTATTGCCTCATAAGTGAAGTTATAAGTTAGCAAAATCAATCAAATGTAAGTAAATGATGCTTGAACAGCCCACATCACAGCTTTCCATAGGGTTTCATTTTTTTAGCAGCAGCTCATTCCTTAAAACAGAAGCCTTAGATTGCTTATCATAAGAGGAAATAAGAAGGGTATATTTCAAGGTTGTTATTTAAATAAGTTATTGGGCTGTTTTCTTATCAACTTAAATTTGTTAGAACATATTTTCAACTTTAATTGACAGAAAGTGGGCTAATTAACACATGAACATTACTGTGTAACATATGTTTACAGATATATTTAAGAAGTACAAGACAAGCTCAAGTTTCATTTGTGGGCCGCATTCCATTATACTTTTTTAATTTGCTGAGGGCCGATTCAAAATGGCCCGCGGGCCGCATTTGGACCCCGGGCCTTAGTTTGGACACCCCTGTCTTAGATGGTCAAAGATCATATAAGTGCACACGCATCTAGAGCTCCTCCGTCTAAACGCTTCCAGTCAGAACTTCATTACTCATTAGATGGTGTCATTGCGTGACTGAACAGGTCGGCCTCGTCTGCTAAAAGTGGATTAAGAAGCAAGATTCGTGTGTGTGTCTTAACGTGTGTGTCTCAGCGCGACCTTGTCCTGAGCTCAAGCCTTGGCAGGTACACAGATCTGCTGAAAAGAATTGGAAGAAAAACACAATACACTCCCTCAGACACACACGCACAGATATTGTGTGAGAGGATTATAAAGAACATCTCCATATAGGCTGAACACAAGACAAGCACAATGCTCTTTATGCCTTTGACAAGTTCTTGCTTGTCAGTCAGAAACTAAACTTACACACACACAAACACACATTAATGTATAAACTACATCTATCTGTCCAAAGTAGGGCATCACAGTGCCTATCACAGAAAGGCGTCACACATCAGGAGAGCTTTCAATGAAAAAGTTGTTGCCAAAGTACTGTGTTCCTGTGTGCAGCTCCCCAGACACACTCCAGGGTCATTGTCCGTGCATGTATGGAGATGACGCCACCTGCAGCCACTGTAAGCTGAAATACCCCCCCGGTCGCAGGGTGGTTGCATCACCAGGTGAACGGGAACATTGCCGGCTATATTTAATGTCACTTGGACGAGGTATTAGATGTTCAGCTGTGAAAAAGTGGCCAATTTGTGATGGATTCATGGTGTTCTGAACGAATGGTAATTTCCTGAAATGAGGAGACAAAATTGACTTTAAGTGTATTTATGCATATTTGGCTAAGTTTAGTCATCATGATGATTCTTTTGACTGTTAATTAAAAGTGTTTATTGAAATAGTTGGATGTTGTTACATGTTTTCACTGGTTTTGTCGAAGCTAGTTTGCTGATTTGGCAGTGGGTTCAGCTCTTTGGTTCAAAGTCAAATGTTTCAACAGCTATTTGATTGATTGCCATGCAATTTGGTTCAGGCATTCATGTTCCCCTTAGGATTAATTGTAAAAGTGATCCTCAACTTTTTCTCTAGAACCACTTTCATGTTAGAAGGTGACTTTTATTGCTTAACAAATGCTTAACCAAGATGTTAGATATGATATGGCAAACACTATATCTCCTAAAGATCAGCACGTTTTATTGTGAGCTGTTGATATTAGCATTTAGCTCAAAGCTAATGCAGCCTAAAAGAGCGTCTAGCATGGCGTGAGCATAGCTACAAAGTTTGACATGATATAAAAACAGGTCACAATGTGTCAAAACGTTGTTGAATCTGTTTTTTACAGTGTTTCTTTTTCACACATTGTGCTGTTTTTTTACATTTCTATGGACAAATAAATGGATGAATGTGAGAAAAACAGAACACTGGCAAAGTGTAAGAACTAACACCAGTTTCCTTTATTACAGCCAAACATGAAAAATGAGGGGGAGATAAAGAGAAGCAGATGTGATAAACTCTCTAACCTTCCCCAATTTGTGGCAGGCACAACAGTTGCCACAAAGGCGACTTCAATATGGTTGATGAGACACGTGAGCATGTTCATGCAAGACAAGTCTTTTTCTAAGTTTGGCTTCAGTCACAAGTTTTTTACTCTGTCAAAGGGAGAAGTTAACAAAGAGCAGCATAACAACAACAACAACAACAACAACAAAAGAGAAAGAAGAAAAAGCACGAGGGAGGATACAAACACCTGCGTTTCTCAGCATTCGGAAAGTACCCCCTCCTACACACACACTCAAACACACACACATGAACACAAGAAACCCAAGTGTTATGTTCTTTCACTTTCATCACCATAGATACGCAGCAGAAGTTCTCCAAAGGACCCTCGCAAACCACAAAGTAGCCAAAACCCTTACCATTCTACGTATCTGCCGGCAACAATACATACACTTGTTTGGCCGATTCGTTTTGTACGTCTCTTTTGTGTATCAGGATGAAGAGCGAGAGGAGGGGTGAGGCGGGCTACGAGGGGGTCTGGAGTGTTTTCTATGCTGGTTTTGGAAATCTTCTTGGGGCAGCGTGGGCAAAGACAGAGGGGCATCTGAAGTTCAGCCAGAAAAAGGCGACAGACAGTGTGTGTGTGTATGTGTGTGTGTGTGTGTGTGTGTGGACTTATCTCTTGGGTGTCTGTACCTGTTTGTTTGGGCTGTTCTTTTATTTTGGTCTTTTCTATTATTTTATTTTTTTACTCCAATCCCATTTCTCTTCACACACACACACACACACACACACACACACACACACACACACACACACACACACACACACACACACACACACACACACACACACACAGCCTTGCAGCTCGCTCTATTGTCCAAATCCTAATGCCACATTGGACTCATGCCCATGTCAACAAGCTCCCTGTCCGTCTTTCTGTCTGTCTGTCTCTCAGCCTCTCTTTTATTCATCTCACTGTGACCACTCTTTTCTCTGTATTATGCCGCTCTCCATCCCTCCTCCTCCTCCTCAGTCCTTATGTCCGGCTCCTCTCTCACTCCTCTCTCCGCTCGTGCTGTTGTGCTCTCTAAACCGGGCTGTGCAATTAGTTAATGTAGGCTACCCTCCACCCTGGGGGTGATTCTGGCACGGCCGACCGACCGAGCGCTGGTCTGCGTCCGCGAGTGTGTGCGTGTGGTTTTGGCACTGACGCTGAGTGGGGTTGCTGGGCTTACGGCGGACCATCCCGTTTTTGGCACCGGCAGCGTTTTGGACAGCCATCACCTCTTCTCTCTACACATCCACTCAACCGTAGTAGCCAGCCCTCTGTCTGGGGCTCGGGTAAACAGGCTTTTAATTACCATGGGGAAAGACCCAAACTCTAAGAGATCAATTCACATGTACACATTTTTGGCCTGTACCAATTGATTATACAGTGTTTTTTCTTTAACACCTTGTAAAACATTATATAAACAGTTATTCATTTATTTCTCTCTTCCAATTGTTTTGTAGTTTTGTTATAGAAACATTTCGTCATTTAAATCCATTTTAAAATGTATGAGTACATTCACAACAGCAGCTCTTTAGACCAGAGTGCTGTTTACACAGTTAAAGCTTTTCTCTAATTCCGGGATAAAAATCGACCTGAGGGCCATTTCAACAGGATGTATACAGTAAACAGACTATTTGGGGGAAATAACATGCGGAAACAAGCTGAAGAAATCCAGATTAATGACCCTGTAATCTGCATGTCATTTAAGTGTTTTAGCAAAACATACACATATGCATTGAATAAAATGTCTTTGTTTTTTATATTATGTAGCTCTTTTAATTTGTAAGTCTTGGATGTATATTCGATTTTTTTATTTTAGTTATTAGATTAATATTTTGTACATATAATATTTATTGCAAGTATCCTCATTTGGAAAGAGATCTCCTGATGCTCTCCCTTTGTTTTCCTTTTTCTGAACCCAGTTTCTAAGAATAGAGGGTGTCAGATGCTGTTCATAGTGTAAAGCCTTCTGATTTTGTATAAGTAAGCATTGTTGTATATTTATAATAAATAAACATGATCAGATGAGCAAAAAGGTCCAAACAATAATGCATAATTCTGTCCACAGGTTGAAACAATTGCCCAACAACATCTGCAACATTTTGTTTTTGTGTTTCCTAATGTATTCCATATTGCACCCTTAAATCTGTTTTCGAATTGCATGCCACAGTTTAATCCCTGCCCCGCTTTGGGGCCTTTAAATCCATGCTTGGCTCTGTGAGGGTGTAAAAGGGCAGGCGGGCACGTCACTGGACCCCTCTGTACTTTGTAAAGGCCTTGAAGGACGCTCAGCATGAATATCCACTCTGCGCAAACAACAAAAGGAACGGCTGCGTCACAAAGGGACACCAACATGGATGAGATGGAGCTCGGCCTGCTGCGGGGGGGAAGTGGAAATGCGTGCCAGTGAGTCTCTGTTTGTGTGTGTGCACATGATTGATTGTCAGCTGAATCCAATTAACAGGCATTAAACCAATAAGACCATCTTGGATGTAACCAATTCAGTACATCTCCAGCTTAGTGTAGTGAGGGCAATAACAAAGTTCTGCCTGTGGCCCCTTCTGTTTTTCCTCATGGACGCTGGCTTTAACACCCCCCCCCTCCCCTTTTTTTGGTTTGCATTGACGGCATTAGGTCATGGTTGTGCAGAAGCAGGGCCGCCCCTCCCTACAGGCCAATCACGCAGGCTGCATGGGGCCCCGCCTTGCGCAGGGGGCCCCGCCCAGAGGGCCTCAGCTGCTGTGCGCAGTTCTCCGCTCAGTTCTCCGCGCACCCCCGGCTGACACGGGAGAGTGAGAGGTGACAAGGGGAGCACGTGTGTAACCCGACACCGTTGCAATGAATCGACATCTGACCAATCACGGCTTTGATACGGCCACTAGTGCAGGTGAAGAGATGTCGGTGAAAAGACAGTTTCAGTCCGGCGCAAGCTAGAGGGAAAAAAAAAAACTTGAAGAAACTAGAGCATCACTCGAAGGTGGGTTATTGTCAAATGTATAACTTGCGAATGTTGTATAAGTCAAATTGCCAATTGCCATATTAAAACATCAGCTGCAATTCACAACATGAAGAAGGCAGTCTCTGCATAGCATATAGGCTAATGGAGATGCAGTTATTTCCAGCATTCTTTATTTAACATTCATTTAAGTATGTTATGCCTTTCATCTGCTAATGTACAGGAGGAAGAGAGATAAACTGTCTGTCTAGTTGGCTTACATAACAGTTAAAGTTTACAGCCTAAAAAACATGGAGCATTTTTCCCCCTTATATTCATTTTTATGTCAATTTGCACATTTCATGGTGATGCTCAGCCTCTCCCCTTAACTCCTAACAGTCATCATCATGTCAACCACAACACAGAGAAATACTGATAGCAATGTGTGTGTAGTTGTTGATACATTGCTGACAGAGGGAACTACGTTTGAATACAGATTTAAGAAATATCAGTTTTTGAGCATGTCATAAGCATGTTTTGTCTTGACTATATTACAACTATATTATAATAAAAATAATATAGTATTTACATTATTGAATTGATTATGATTAGTATTAGTAGAATTAGTTTATTTGCATTAATTATATTTTAATCTTTTTGAGGCTAGTATTTGGCAGGAAATGCAGACGTATTCACCTGTAAACGCATACTGAACGACATACATGCACAACCATTTACCTCACTGCATAAAAAAGTGTTGATAATAATAATAAACAGGAATTATATTTGCAAAGTAGCCTACTTTGTTTCCAAAATGTTTTTTTTTTCACTCCTGTCGGTTGGGGGGGGGGGCCTCATCTCACAATGTCGCATGGGGCCCCAAGTTGGCCAGGGGTGGCCCTGTGCAGAATACATGTAGACAGCTAATGGCCATTGGCTAGGTCAAGCAGTGGGGAAATAGCACTTGTTTGCAGGGGGAGTGCGTGTGCGCATTTGTCTGAAATGTAATGCAATCGGGCATGGCCAGAAGGACAAAAGACGAGACAGCAGCTCGACCTATTCACCTCCCCACCCCCATGCTCACACACACACACACACACACACACACACACACAACAGAGAGAGAGACACACACAGAGACACACACACATAAAAATGTTTGCTTGCCTAATTCTTTTATTTCTGAAAAAAATGAGCAATCTGGATGTCCATGCCCTAAGAACAGCAATGTGTATTCCAAGCCCCCTCGCTGTGTAATTATATTTGTACAGACAGACAATCGGATGATTCTGACAGGACAGAGTTATATTTATATATTTCTGCTGTTATTCCCCTGCCCCATAGAGAGATGACCCACTTCCACTGCTCAGTCTGAACGTCTGTCTGAGCTCACTCGGATGTTGTCAGCTCAACACGGATATTTCAGTTTGTTTGTGTGTCGATTGTCGAGACACAAAAACCCAAAAGCCGACTTCCTTGTTAGTGGGATTTATTTCTCACCTTTTTCTTAACTTTTGTCCTTGTTCTGCACCTGTGCATGTGTGTGGTGTGAGTTGGTGTTTCACTGCAAATGTGAGCATTTGGAAAAAGCAGACATCTGTGGACCTCAGAATTTGTCAATATAAAACAAAAAATATTAAGTTATTGTTATAACCTTTCTAAACGTATTACATCGTCTTGCGTTTGCTTTATATGTTGTATTGGAAATAATGTTCAATACACATTTGTTTTCTTTAATCTCCTAATCTAGCATTAAAACATTTGTACCATAACATAAAATAATACACTTTGCAGGATGATGTGACGGCAAAGTTTAAAATATAGTGGCCATAGTACATTCTGGGACCTAAAAAGACAAATGTTCTTGTCTGTTGCTGTGACCCAGTTTTGTCAATAATCTGATTAAATGTTAATGTAATTTCATATTGATTCATTGTATCTTATTATATTCATATAGTGGGCATTTCTGTCTTTAAATGGCTGTAACCGGACTCATATTGTTATTTGGCATCAGTCTGCCCTAACCATTATGAATGAATACACAGCTCAGTGCACAGCTGAGTGGAACACATATTCAATTCCAAGAAGTTTCAGCTTGTTACAAAAGAAAATAGAATTACGACTATTACAAATCCCTGCCAGCACATCAGCCTGCTGCCAAATAGTTGTTATTTTGATACATGGCATTGTGTTGTGTTTTTCCCTCTAGTGAGTAGTGTCATGGGTGCTGCAGCTTAACAAAAGCATGCTGCTCTTTCTTTTCTATGGTCAAAAAATCATAATGGAAAATCTATTCCACTTGGCTACAGATACATTTTGCACATTGCATGCAGCTGCTGAAAAAGAAACAAAGTATGTGAATTCCTTGTTTCTTCATGTTAGGCTACTACCAGAGCCTGGTGCCTGTGAGTGTGTGTGAATGTTGCAGGTCCTGCGATGGGGTGGAGCTGAAGAGGCCAATCAGCGTGATCGGGGACACCTGGCCGGAGTCACAGCCCCGTCATGTCTCTCTCCAAGCCTGCTGCGGAGGGACTCACCGTGATCCTTTGCCCTCGTCCACCCTCTGCTGTTTTTGGTGTTGCCGAATAAAGTGCTGTTAGAAATTAAAATCAATGTTTGATAGCATAAAGTAGCTTAAACTTACCGTCAGTTTAAATGCTATTTTATTCTGGAAAAAAACGGAAGTTCTCAATCCCAAGCTTTTATTCTATCCTTCATCTCCGGTTAGCATTTAGCATGTGGCTAATATATCATTTCCTATAGATGTGAATTTAGCAGCGAAATGTACGGTGGCCGGCAGGTGCAAACGCGGAACAACGGCCAAAATATATTTGACACATATGTATTAAAAAAAACAGGAAGAGGATCGACATCCTTTTGTAAATATGACTGTCATGCATATATTATGTATTTGAAAATAATTATTCAACTGTCTTCTCACTGCAGCAACTACACAAATGTGAATGCACTTCTCATTATTGATAGCCAGTCTGAGCCAGAAGACAAAATGGAGCAAAGGTATTAATTGTTACTATTACCACTTAATTGTTCTATCTATACTGTAAATCTTATTATAGCTTCATCATTTAATATTACAATACATCACTTTGTCTTTCCCAGCACAGAATACCTGACTGCGTAGGACATTGTTGCAGAACTCTCTGCAAAAAGAACAAATACATCTTGCAGCAGGTTCAATATGAATAGAGCCAGTGTATGGGATGGAGCAATCCGCGGCTTCAAAGGTGCCTCATTCGATCCCTCTCATGAAAGGTCAGTTAAGTTCACTGAGGAGGAGGGACACACTGAGGATGGAGTGGACACTGGTGGTCCCAAGCGTGAGTTCCTGACCCTCCTTATGGAATGCCTGAGAATGAAGAAAACATCACGTCAGCAACTGTTTGTGCCCCATGGCGGTGTGACTTTCCCAGCCGCTCACTGTCTCAAAATCTGATTCTGAATGTTCTCTATAAAGATAGAACTAATACACAATTATGAATGTATAATATAAGCTGTGTTGTGTATTTAATCATGCATTGGACTACAATTTAATGATGGCTTCTACATATTTCACATAAACAGACAATGAAAAAAGGTGTCCTTCATGCTGATAACTAGTGTATGCATCTGCAATTAGTATTCTAAACAGAGCAGTGTGTTGAATCCTTATTTCTTGCATTTGAAACAGATACAATACAAAAAGTGAACTTACTGTTGTGTTCAACTTCTGCCACAAACTGTACATGTTTGCCACAGGAGCCACAGAACACTTGAACTGTCCCCAGATGTTGGCCACAGAAAGGACAAAACATGGCAGCCTGAAAAGTATACATTGATGTAGTAAATCCATTTAATCAAGTCAATCAAAAACACATAGTCTAAATAGTGGTTAGCTAAATCCGTTGAATCTGTGTTCTGTCTCTCTCTCCTTGAATGTCTTCTCTATATTTGTTCTTGAGCATGTCTAATGCACACTACTATCCTGTCATTACTTTGTCCCTCTTCACATTTTGTCACTTCTCTCTCTCTCTCAAATCAATTCAATATTGATGACCATAGCTACAGGCAATTGCTAAAGCTCTGTTTAGTTGCAACATCTATACACAAATAAATACATACATATAAACAAACTGCTAAGAATTCAAATGTCCTTTTTCCGCGGTACTCACTATGGCCCGTGTTATTTGCCTGCACTTGATCTGTCATCTCTTTTAACAATGTTCTTCCCTCACTGTATCTTATCTTCACGTGAAGCTCTCATCTCCTCAGCTGGTGTAGTAGTTAGGCACACTAACGCTAGCTATATAAATATGACGCTCTATGTATCAAAACAAAACTTACCTTCTTATATCTATCTCCACTTAAATGAACTTTCTTTCCTCCCGATTTCCATCACTCTTGTTCGTTCTCTCTGTGTCTGGTCAGACATCAATCTGTTCCACGTAGCGCGCCCCCTAGAGGCCTGGAGAACTTCCGGAATTATTTTTTGGGTATGTGTTTTGGGATTTGTATGTGCTTTGGACTTTGCATATCGTTTTGGTATTTGCAGCGTTTTTTTGTTGCGTTTGTTTTCGGGGTTTGTGTGTTGTATTTAGTTTGCATCATTTCTGTAAATGCAGCGTTTTTCTGTTGTATTTGTTTTCAGGGTTTGTTTGTTTTTCATTTCATTATTTGCAGGTGTTTCCTGCTTATGTATGAGTTTTGGGTCGTTGTTCCGCGTTTGCACCTGCCGGCCACCGTAGAATGACATGGAGTGATGCACACCGAAACCTACTGATTTAACACTACAACGAATTGAACCAAGAGATTATTATTGCTGAATATTAAATGAAGGTACAGTTTATTTGAATACGTTATTGTTTACAGAAAATGCTGTGAAGTATTTCCTGTATTTTTTAGAGTGTTGATTTCAGCGTTTGAAATGTATTTAGATGAAAAGTCATGAACGAGATTAGGAGGAGAAGAGGCGTGTCTAGTTATACAATGAATGTAAAATGTCGAAATCCCCAGTTTAACGCAATATCGGACACAGAAGAACGAGGGGGAAGTCTCCTACGTCACAGCCCCTAGAGAGGAGGAGCAAACAGCCAGCAAGCGGGAAGGACGAATGCTTGTGAGCTCTCTTCTTCACGGCCACCACTGGGAGAGGAAGCTGCAGACTTTCTCTCCTGACTGAACAATCTCCTGCTTGTAACATTACCGTGCCTTTTTATTAATTAAAGTACCATTTGAACCATCCATTTAGTCTCCTTTTAAAGCTTCTCTCCTGGACGCGAGAATGACGAGCACAATTAACAGTGCCGAGATTATTGGAAACTTTGAGTGTCTCTCCTGGTTTTTCTGTTGTGGCCAACGGGCCGGTCATAACACCTAACATGAAGAAACAAGGAATTCACATACTTCTAATGTAAAAAGCTTCGATTATTGCGTGCATGTGGGCAGAGAGAAATAAAAGGTGGCTTCAAAATCACATATTTCATTGTCTCCATAAGCCCATTTTCTATTAGAAACACTAAGGAAGATCACCATGTTGTAGTTTATTAGTATGACCTGGGCTGCCCTGCATCATGCCTGTGTCTGTGTGTTTCTGTATGTTGAGTTTTTCTCCTTTTGTGCCGATGTGGCATCTGCTGTGGTGCGGGAGGTGATGGAGAGGTAGCAGCAACCTGAGCCAGGCTGGCTGACGGCCGCCTCTGAGTCCATATGCCTGCTCCGAGGACACACACTCTCATGGCAGGACACACTCCCACACACTGGACGCTTAGTTACCTCCCTCCCTCACACACACACACACACACACACACACACACACACACACACACACACACACACACACACACACACACACACACACACACACACACACACACACACACACACACACACACACAAGAGCCCACAAACAGTGAAGCTGCACTACGTGTGTGGAGCATCCGTGCTGGAGTGTGAAGGGAACCAAAGGGTAGCGGAGGTAGCGGTGTGTGTGCTGCCAAATCACCACATAATGGACTGTTCCCGGGACCAGCCAACCTGCGCACCATATGGACTCAACACATCAGTGGAGCGAAGGAGCCAACACCTTGGACAAGTATAGCACATGTTATATGCATATTAAGCTTAAAATAGTAATATTTTTAAAATGATGTAATACTCATTAGTTTTAATGCAATTTTAAAGGGTAAGGATGGCGATACGTTTTTCTTGTTAACAACACAGACATTTTTGGATCCCACTAACAAGTATTGTGAGTTAAAGCTACATATCCTGGTGCCGTACGTCCTTATCTACAAACGGATATTAGTCTAAGGTGACCAGATTTTCTAAATTAAAACCGGGGACATTTTGAGTTTGTCGGTCAAAATCTCATTAACATATCCAATTTTCTTCACTGTTAAAGAAAAAAGGGGGACAATTCTGGTTCAATGTAATTCGTACATTTTAACTATCGGATACAAACAGAAGGACGATAGCTCATATATGAGACTTCAAAGGTCTTTTATTTTGAAACTCTACATCAGATTGTCCTGATTTTCTCAGATTGACTATGGGGTCTCCTGCTGAAGTGAAATAAGTATGTGATTGACTTTGAATGACTCTTTGATTATGGACAGTTTCCATTAAATAATAATCAAAATATAGATGGACAATAGATTTCACAACCGTTTAGTTACATTGTACCTGTACTGTGTAATGACAATAAGTTGAATCTATCTATCTATCTATCTAGATCTAATTTGAGATTTTAAACAGCATACATTTTAAATTCTGCTTCAGAAAGTAATGTTATTTTAGGAGTGTTGTGAGATGGTGTCAACATCAATTGAAATTAGTCACCCAGTGGAAATGTCAGATATGTCTTCATAACTGTATCCTTACATTTTACATTCACTCAGTTATAATGTGGTAGTTATACATAGTTTGTTTTAAATTATTATTGATCACATATACATGTACATGTTTCTTAATTTAAGCTCCAGTATATATGAATATGTTTGGTGTGTTTTTTAGGTATATGTGTTACTGACCGAGTAAACGCATTTATTTTGAAGGCAGATTTTACAGGCCTCTACCGTAATGCATAGGATATTCGCGCACCGCAATTCAACGTGCGGGCTGGCTTGACTGTGTTTCCCCGAAGTGGGGGCTGGCTTGACCACAGTCTGTAGTGTTTACCCAGTGTTTTTGACATGAAACGTTTTATTTCACCTTGCTATGTGTTTTTAACGTATATTAAAAAACGGGGACATTTCCGGGGACAGTTTCAACCGGGGACAGGCCAATACAAACGGGGACTGTCCCCGGAAAACGGGGACGTCTGGTCACCCTATATTAGTCCCTACCAATGGCACTATTGTCTTTTCAAGTAACATTTTGGATACTAGTCATAAGCTTCACTTATTTCTTCCAGCACTGTTTGTTCACTTCCCACTGGCATTTTGTTCTCTGACTCAATGTTCTCTCAGAGCCAGCAAACATGTTAGCATGTTAGCTTAGCTCGTTGCTAACAACTGGGAAAAAAAACGTTTTATTTATAGGATCATGATACTTATCAAACTTTTATCTTTTTTTCCGTATTGATAATTCTATACAGCCCAGTCTCACGGCATTTTGTGTAATAGTCACGAAATTAATTTAATCTATTGATTTGTGTTCACCAACACGATTTTCCCATTTTTTTAATGTCACATGAACGATTTTAAAAGCAATGTATTTCTATTGGTAGTATGTTTCGTGCCTGCACCACGTATTTTTGTCCGGTCGGGTCTTGGAAGACCGGAAGCTGTGTGGTTCATAAAAACATTTTCTTACTCAATATCAAGCCACAATTATTGTTTTTATTTTAAATGGTATAATGTCGGACTTTTTTTGCCGTCCGCGAGGAAAATAAATGGGGCTCCAGAGCCTCAGAATACTGAAATCTGTATTTTTTGTCATCTTTTTTTCCTTCTAATTTGTTATTATTTACATTGCTTTTAAAATCGTTCTGTGTGACATGAACAAAATGGGTAAATCGTGTTGGTGAACACGAATCAATAGATTGATTTTGTGACTATAACACGAAATGCCGTGAGACTGGGTTGTTCTATATGGCCTTTAGCATGTCGAGAGGATTTTCTTATTCAGAAAAACGGTCCCAACAAGTCAACTTGCTGAACTGATTTGGCCTAGCAATAGCAATACATATACTCAAGTGTTGCACTTCCTTACCTCAGCGGAATAATTAATGGTTGCTGTTTTCCAAATACACATTAAGGTAGAAACAGGTGTTCCTTCCATTGTCCTTTCATCGCTGACAGCCTTTGTTCTGCGGCTGGTATCATCTGTGGAGGGCGAGTTGCATCCCCTGCTAATGTATTTCATCAGCCACAGCTGTATCGGACGCTCTCCATTGGTGTGGAAATGAGGGTCGTCAAGTTGCCAAGTGGCTCCTTCATCCACATTAAAGAGACAGAGAGGAGGGGGGCTGCTCATTATTCTGGCTCAGGTGTATGTGTGTGTTATTTATTTGTGTGTGTATCAGGGAGCAAAAAGCATGAAGTTTTACCCCCAAGTCCCACTATCAGAATGGATGGCCCCATTAGGGAAGCTTTCAACCCCTGACTGAGAGATTGAACAACCTGATCTCACCAGAATGCGTGAACTCCACCACGACTCCTTAACACGGCATTGCGTGGTGGAGTCACGCATTCTGCTACATTTACGTGTCGGCACCACGCAAAAAACCCCAATGTAAAGTGAATGAGGCTCTTTTGTCGTGGTGCACACACGCATTTCTACAACGTCCTGCAGTGAGCTTTTATTCTATAAAGCGTTTTTAAAATCTACTTTATAGCTTGTAGTAACTCACAGGAGGCTTCTTTTATTTTATTTGTATTCATAATAATTTTTATTTTTCGTCAGAATGTATTATGGTGCATTAGTTACGAATTTTTGTTCTCAAAAAACAGTGCATTGTGTGTAATACAACTGTGATTTTTATTAAATTAGTTCGTTTTTAAGGAAGGCCAGAGCTTCAGCTGGCTCCAATAGATTGTTCCCTTTAGTTAACGTTATTTAAAAGATAATGATCATGTCCCCTTTATTGTATTACGAGCGTCCATTCCCATTGGATAACGGAGAATTGTACACCCGGAAGTAAGTATTCTCCTTACTGTCGATTGATTTTACAGTGATATCTGCACTACTTATCAACTAATAAACACCAGATTATCCTTGTTAATTACACAACATTGATTGGTTTAAATTGTCTACAATGCTTTTGTATTTTTCCCCTTCGATTCGGAGAAACGAATATTTGTTCGGAGTTTTTGGATGGCAGAAGACACTACACTACCCAGAATCCTCAGCTATCGTTTGGGACTACACCATGTGCTTAGATTGACAAACCCCGT